TTTAAAATTCAAGCTTTTCTTTCTAGTTATTCTAAAGGTGTTCTTAAAAGCAAACAATTTGTCAGCCATCCAGGTAAACCAAACAGGAAACACAAACAGATAAGCTAATTTTACTTTATTGGAAGGCTACATTAACAGAATCCTGCAAGTTTAATCATACTAATGTCCTGCTATTGATTTTAACAGCCTGATCAATTAGAGCAGGTCATACCTAAATTTCTTTCTCTGACCACTAAGCACTTTTGAGCGCCTCCCTCTGATTGTTTCCTCGGCAGCATTTCTTCCCTTTATCCCTCAAGATCATTCCCATATACCGTTATACAATCCCAATGCAGTTTAGAAAAATCATAAATGCTATTTCAGAATAAAAACAAAGGCAATCCATTAAAAAAATGTTAGTGAGAATTTGAAAAAACATACTACTTCCATTTCTCTACAGTATAAACTAGTAAGAAAATGTGCAGTAGAGTTTATGGTAAATAATTTCTACACCCAGAGCTAGTATGCATGCAGAGTCCTACTAATAACTAGATAGAAGTACACTTTGCTCACCTGCCTAGACAACTACAACTACAACAACAATAATAAAAAAAGTTGGAAGGGACCTTGGAGGACATCTAGTCCAACCCCCTGCTCAGGCAGGAAACCCTGTACCGTTTCAGACCAATGGCTGTCCAGTCTCTTCTTAAAAACTTCCAGTGTTGGAGCATTCACAGCTACTGGAGGCAGATAGATTTAGTCTAATAGTTTATTTAAAATTAGCATACCATTTTTTCACTTACATGAAAACAAAAATTAAAGAAAAAATATTGCTGACAATAATGTTTCAGAATAACCTCTTTTAGAAAAGGAAAAATAAAGCAATGATTAAAGTATAACTCAATTAGTCCCTTACTTTTCATTGCACTGATTTCTGTGGGTAGATTCCTTAATTGATTAGAAGCTAAATTGAGACGCACCAAGTTTATAAGGAAAGCAAAACTTGTTGGGATACCAGAGATGTGGTTATTAGAGATATCCTAAAGAAAGAAAGGAAAAGCATGTTTATTAACCTATTTAAGAAACTTGGATTTGGGTTAGCTGAAAACAAATTGGTTAGCATAATTCTACCTTCCACTTCGAGTTCCAACATCAAAGCTTTAGCATATCCTACATATTCGATTGATGAGCCAGACAGAAGCAAATTGGTTCCTTTCATTTCATTTCCACCATGAAAGGTCATTTTTATCTTTGTGTGTTTAGTGAGCGTGACTGGAGAACACGTTTGCAAACCTTCTCTGAGCTACTAGATACTGTATCTAGCTGAAACTCAATGCTGGAGAAGGTACATCATGTGAAGATTATCACTGCAGAGGAATTTGATGTTGAACCTCCTCCACTAAAGCCATATTCCTTCTCTGTTCTCAAGACAAAAAGGGAAATTGATGTATCCTGCATTCATTCTATGCCACCCAAACTCCCCAATAACATTGTGTAGCTAATTCTTCCATTTACGATGACCAAGAGCCAATGGATAATCATTAAATTTATATTCTACAACAATACCTTTCATACCATCAAACAAAAACGTTTGCAATCCTAGATCCTTGAGGAAAAATTCTATAAGTGGATAAAAATGCAAATCCCTTCTAAACATCTGGCTGATTGTGTGATGAACCATAATAATAATAGACAAAACACCATCAGTCAATTGCAAAAAGGCAACTTTACTTGGAACAGCTTGCATTTATGACAACACGTTTAACATGATGAAACCAGAACATATGCCTATCCCAGGTCTTCGGGAAGGACTTGATAGATTGATAAAAAATGCCAAAGGCCAAATCCAGCTTAAACATCTGGCTGACTGTGCAACCAGCCATAATAATATAAACTTGTATGCAGTCCAGGAGAAACAGCACGGGGATTGTTGACTTGTCTTCTTACAACTTCCACTGCTTTCTCTTGCACTATTACAGGGGGTATCTCATTCTTAGGGAAATTTTGGGAAACAGAAACGAAACTGACTGCTCTTTTTTCTCCCTTTACAAGTAGTCCTCGACTTACAGTCATAATTGAGCCCAAAATTTGTGCTGCTAAGTGAGACAGTTAAGTGAATTTTACCCCATATGACGACCTTTCTTGCCATGGTTATTAAGTGAATCACTGCAGTTAAGTTAGGTAACATGGTTGTGAAATGAAATCTGGCTTCCCCACTGACTTTGCAAAAGATGGCAAAAGATGATCGCTTGACTCTGCAACACTACAACCATCACAAATACATGCCAGTTTCAAAGCGTTCAAATTTTGATCATGTGACCATGGGGATGCTGCAACGATCCTAAGTGTGAAAAACAGTCCTACGTCATTTTTTTCAGTGCCATTGTTAACTATGAACAATCACTAAATGAATGGTTGTAAGTCAAGGACTGCCTGTACTTGGGGGTCACCTACTTCAAAACCAAGAAATGTACTGTACTTAGTGTATAGTAGCAACCACAACCAAAACCAGAAAGTCATAAAGCCATAAGCTTCTACTTACCAACTCTTCCAAACTGACAAGCTGTCCAAATTCATCAGGCAAGTGATACAATTCATTGTGCTGCAGAAGCAGACTCTTCAAGTGTTTTAGCTGAGTAAGTTCTTCTGGTATCTTTTTCAGTTTATTATGACTATTGATAAAATAGGAATTGTGAAAGGCTGCATTTGTATACGATTGGTCTGTCTGCTAACTGTCTGCTTATGGAAGGCCAACAGGCCAATCAGATCTCTGGAAGGATTGCATTCCAGAGAACAGAAAAGGCTCTCTTCTCTCTTGCCTGTCAGTCAACATTCCTTACTGTGCTGGAACAGATGGTACAAAGAAGGGGAAGAGATACTGTACATACAGGATATTAGGTATCCTGGATGCTAGTACTAGTCTGCTAGTCAGGTTAGTACTAGAATGGAAATCAGGAAATTCCAGGCCTGTGACTAAACTGGAAAGGTAAAAAAGGCACTTCTTTCTTATTTTGTTCTTGTGATCACCAGAAGCTGAGGTGGACTTGAGGAAGCCATAGCTTTGAGCTTAAAGATTTGCTTTATGCAGAACAAAACATATGACCAATTTGAACTGATAAACCAGATTTTTGTCTATACAAAATAAATTTAACTTACCCCGTATATACTCGAGTATAAGTCGACCCGACTATAAGCCGAGGGACCTATTTTGCCACAAAGAATTGGGAAAAAATGGTGACTCGCGTATAAGCCGAGGGGGCATTTTTCAGCACACACATTTTTCCACCTGGGCTAATCGGCCTCTTTGCAACCCCACCCCTCTGGTAACCGCCGATTGTAGCACTTTGCACAAAGGAGCAATAGTTGATAACACGCCCCACGTCAGCTGGAAGGGTATTCTTGGATAGTGAGAAGCTGGAACTGGCGGGCGGGCGAGAGAGGCGGGCAGAAAAAAAAGGGGGGGGAAATCCACACACGCTCGCGCAGGGAAAGGGGGAAACAGGTGGGCCGGCCGGCTCCCCTCTCCTCTT